GGCCTCCCAAAGTGCTGGGATTACAGGCCTGAGCCACCCCGCCCGGTCTCTTATTGCTTCTTTAGAGCAAATTGCAAAGAAAGATCTAGAGAATCCAGTTGTCTCCAATGAAGGTCAACATGACCTTTTAAATAATATAAATACATGACACACTTCTTACTCCACTTTTTGTTGTAGAAAAGTTACTTTTTCGATGAAAAATTTCTGTTAACAATATTGTTCTCTAGGAATATTTTCTGTTGTCACAACCTGGGCCATGAGTTACTACTGATATCTAGTTGGTAGTGGCCATGAATGTTACTAAACTCTCTCCAATACACAGGACAGTCCTCACAACAAAGCGTTATCTAGCTCATAATATCAACAGTGGTAAGGCTGTGAAATCTAAACTAAAAATAGATTTTGAAAAAAAACTCAATGTTATATTTCTACCACAGTAAATATCAATATAATCAATCTAAACACATACTCTTTGAGATTCTCAATCATTTAAAAATTAAGAGAGTCTTAAGGAACAAAGAAAGCACAAATAATTTGCTTTGATATTTTAGCAGGCACAATACAGCTTATGATGTCTAGAGCTGTGACCTAACACTGAGCTTGGTATCTTGCAAAGTAATTAGCTAGAATAACAAGACAGGTTTCTAAAAAGCTCACCTTTGTGTGATATCATGATGTATCTCCAAAGTCACTCTGTGGAAGGAAAAACAATTCATAACAATAGATGTTATCATTTGTTAGGCCTGAAGACACTTTTTAAAATGGGGGCAGAGGAAACTCTCCTAGCGGCCCTGAAATTCAAATCTTCTAGTTCAGAACAGCACCATAAGGGCACTTTGTTTCATTTCTTGGGTTTTTGCAAAAATATGAGAACCAAAATGCGAGGCAATATGCTGTTAGAAGACACATTTCTGTTGACGATTATAATATATAAATAATAACAGATTTCCCTGTTATATGCTCTTCTACCCGCAAAGCCTTTCATCCCATGCGATTTATTTTATGTATTTATTTATTTTTTGACTTAGAGTCTCGCTCTGTTGCTCAGATTCGAGTGCAGTGGTGCGATCTTGGCTCACCACAACCTCCACCTCCCAGGTTCAAGCGATTCTCATGCCTCAGCCTCCCAAGTAGCTGGGATTACAGGTTTGCACCACTATGCCTAGGTAATTTTTTTTTTTTTTTTTTTTTTTTTGAGGTAGAGTCTTGCTCTTGTTGCCCAGGCTGGAGTGCAATGCTGATGATCTCGGCTCACCACAACCTCTTCCTCCCGGGTTCAAGCAATTCTCCTACCTCGGCCTCCCGAATATTTGGGATTACAGCAATGCGCAACCGCACCCAGCTAATTTTGTAGAATGAGGCTCAAAACAACTGAGGGAAGGAAAATCTCAATTTTAGTTAATAGGTCTACACAATATTAGCACTTGTTAAAATGCCTGAAACATTAGCATGTAAGATGGATAGTCTACAGGGCTTCAAGTAGTTTTTATCCCTGAAATAATTTCACAATCACGGAATTTAAAGTTACATGCTGGAAAGGACCAATGACATTACATGACCTTTAATTCAACACTCATTTTACAAATCAGGGAAACAAACCTTAAAACTGACTTGCCCAAAATCCCACCAAATAGGAGCAGTTTCTCGTCCTAAACTCAAATTAAGCTGTGGCTCTCAAACTTTGCTGCACGTTAAAATCACCTGAGAAGCTTTAATAACTGCCTCATCTTCAACATGAGACATTTTAATGTAATTAGTGTTGGGTATGAGTTTGGGCATCAAGGTCGTTGGTAAAAGTTTCCCAGGTGATTTCAATGTGCAGCAAAGTTTGGAATGATTGAGCTGGGGTGAAAATCAGAATCTTCTGGGATGCCTTTCTTCACATAGAGATGCCTCACATCCATCCCTATTTTCCTAAAAGGCTTCTCAGTGCCTAGAGATAGAGGGAAAGTGAAGATGGGAAGATACGTGTGTTTGCAGACCTGTATTTTGGAAAAAAAAAAACAAAAAAACCTTGCATAAGTGATCTCAGTGAGTTCCACCTATCCCACTGACAACACTGCACAACTGACTTGTGATAAACATTTTTCAAAATCTTTTCTTGAAGCCAATTTGCCCTATTAATTTGCTCAATAAACCTTTATTTCACCAATAGTGAATATACCAAATGATTATTTCTCAGACTTGCTGATGGCAAATTAAAAGTTACTTTACTTTCAAAAGTAGAATTCTACAAAGTAGAAAAATGAGAAAAAAAGCATGAAATTTGTTTGAGCAAGATTAATCTTCAAAGCTACTTTTGAATTGTATGCTAACACATCAAAATCTTTTGAACTCAAAAGAAGCCAGGGACTCTAGTCGAAGTAGTTTTGGTGTATGTGCGCTCGAAGATTTAAGAGACTCGGCTGACTACAGACATTTAGTGATTACTCAATAGGTCCCAAAGCTCAGGACTTGAGACAGAGTTTGAGTCCAGTTTTTGCGGAAACACAATTTCATCA